CCCGCCAAACTTGTCCATGATGGCTTTGCGGTTCTGAGCACGGGGCCCCCGGGGCCGGGCAGGAGCTGACACCCTCCGCTCTGGTGCCTTCTCCTTCTTCTTTTCGGTGGGAGGGGGCTCAGGAGGGCTCTGGGGCGCATCACTGGGTGAAGACTCGCTATGTGGAGAGGTCCAGGGAAGCGTGAGAGAGGCTAGGACATGGAGGGTCAGCCTGGGGGGCCACTGATGTGCAATGGGGCACATGCGGAGTGGCACGTACAGTTGACATGCATTTCATTTGTGCCCAGCACGGGTAGGGGGTTGAGGAGGGATAATGGGGCCCAGTCTAACTTTAGGGAGGTGTGGTTTAGTGAGGACATGTGGGCAGGGCTAGGACACATCTGGGGTCTGACCTGAGTCTGGTTCCTGGCTTTGCCTCTTATTTGCTGTGTGATGTTGGGATTGTCACATCACTTCTCTGAGCCTCAGCTTCCTGATCTGTAAAACAGGGACAGCCAGGTCACTGTCCCTCAGCCCATTGGAGGGCCAGACTGTGGGCCCCAGGACGAGTTGGCTGCTAAGCAGGACAGGCAGCGGTGGCAAAAACACCCAGCAGGCCAGGACAGGCAGCGGCGGCAAAAACACCCAGCAGACCGGATAAATGTCCTAGGCAGGCTGCATGTGGCCCGCGGGCCGTAGTTTGAGGACGCCTGTTCTAAGGTCTGCATAAGAAGGTGAGTAAAGGACCTCGCTGTGCCTGCCACAAAGCTGTGCGAATGCTCAGTGAATACTCACTGGGTATCTTTCCCTAAGAAAAGGACAAGGAGGTGGGTTTCAGCTCATTATAAAGGAAGGTTCTTTTGATGACTGAAATTGGGCGAGGGCAAGCATGAGGCCATCGTTTTAATTAGCACCCGCCATGCACCGCCTGGCACCATGCTGAAGTGCTTTGCACTCATTACATCACTTAAGCCCTACAAGAATCCTAGATGGTAGAAACAGTTGTTATGCCCACTTTATAGATAAGAAGAGGCTAAGTGACATGGCCAAGGTCACACAGCCAGTAAGTGGCAGAGCCATTGTCCAAACTCAGGCTTTCGGATCCTGCTCTTATGGATGACACTGACACCATGAAACATGCCGAGCTTCAAGATAAGGAGCACCCGGGAAGGTCAGGGATGCTGAAGAGCAGACCCCAGCCATGGCGTGGGAGGGGGACCAGGTATCATTTATGCTCCCTCTGCCTGTGGCTCCTTTGGTTCCCGGGCTCTGATCTGGGATAGGAGGCTGAATGCCAGGAGTTCTGGAATATCTTGAAATCAAGTGCTTGGGGAGGCCCAGACTAAGGTGATGGTAGACTTTGAAGGGAGCAGGAGGTAGGGGGAGTTGGGCTGGAGCCCCAGAGTTTAACATTACCTGGCTGAAGGACCGGTCTGTCCAGAAGCTGTAGAGTCTGGACCCAACTCATCTGGAGGAGAGGAACAAGAGGGAGGGGAGCCAGGGCTGTCCGTGACATGTTCCTTGAGCTCCTCCCGCAGGGTAGCCACTGCAGCATCCTGTGGTCTCTGGGCTCACTCACCTGGGCTGAGGCCATGCCCTTCCTCTGTGGGGCTCTCAGGCCACTCCTCAGGGGAGCTGGGAGTCACCTCTGCCCCTCCCTCTGACTCTTTCTCCACATCTTGCCCCTGCTCTTCACTGGGACTGCCTGGCTCCTGGAATGAACATGGTCTGTGTGAGCCCATAGTCACACAGGCACCTGCCCTTCCTTTGTGAGAACTTCAGAAACATCTAGGAGGCAGCCTGGAGCCACAATGCTGCATTCCTTAGTGCCCATCTCTCCCACGCCCATCTCTTCCTCAGTGTGAAGAAGATCAGACTTTCCCAAGGATAATAAAGCAGGGAGGGCTTGCCTCCCAGGGGACCCCATAGCTCTGTTGGGGGGCCTCCCTTTTCCTCTCTCCTGCCCCACTCACCACACCCTCCTTGGCATCACTTTTGGCCTCTTCTTCCCCTCCGGCCTCCTGAGCTTCAGCCTGAGCCTCGTCTTTCATGGCAGCCTTCTCAGATTCAGTCTTGGCCTCTTGATGGGCGGTTTTCTCCTGGGGTTTGGCCATGGGCTCCTCTGTCTTCTGGCTCTCCTCTTGAGAAGCCATCTCAGCCTCATCCTCCCCACCAGCCACCTGGGGTTCAGGCTTGTCTTTGTCATCGGCCTTGGCCTCCTCCCCAGATTCAGCCTTGGCCTCTTTCCCATCAGCCTTCGGCTTCTCGGAGGCCAAAGTGCCCTCCTCCTTTCCCTCAGCCTCCTTGGGTTCGGATTTGGTTTCTTCTTTCCTGTCAGTCATCTGCTGAGAAGCCCCTGTGGGCTCTTCCTTCTTCTTGCCATCCTCCCCTGTAAGTTCAGCCTCACCATCCTCTTTCCCACCAGCCTCCCTCTGGGATTCCACCTTGACCTCATCTAACCCATTTGCTTCCCCCTGGAGTTCTGCTGAAATGCCAGCCTCGCCTTTTTCCTGCGTTCCTGTCTCGTCTGGATGCCCCTCATTGACGCTCTTCCCTGTTGTGCCTTTCGTCTTTTCTGCAGGGGTTTCAACTCCTTGTGTCCTGGGGTCCTTTCCAGTGGGGGACACAGGGGCCCCATCCTCAGAGAGCTGTCCTTCCTTTTGCTCCATCTCTAGAAGGAGAAGAAAAGCAGGCCTGGTCAGGCCCCAACCCCGCGTGAGGTCCGGACTCTGCCCTCTGAGAGCTCTGGCCTGGGAATCAGGAGATCCATCGTCCTGTCCTGGTTCTCTTTCCCCTTTGGTAGGATGAAGGGTAGGTAACTGCTTCCCTAAAGCTGGGGTGGTTGGGCTGTGCTGACTTGTTGTTGGACGGTGGGTTCCAGCATTGGTTTTAAAGAAAATTGACTCACAGAATGCCTTTTCACTGATGTTTCTCTCTTTGACAAAGGCACGGTGGCAGTCACAATGTGACACCAGCATCCTGAACACCTGTGGAACAACTGCTACTCAGGAGCATCTACCGAGCATTGAATAACACTGTTTTGTTTCCATTATATTTATGTTTGCAGTTACTTTCTATTTCTGGCAAGTGATATTGAGTTTCCATTTCCAAAAATGATACAGTGCCTTCTAGAAATACATTTATTGAATTTAAAAATAAGTTCATTCAAAGGAAGACGTTCAGGAAATTAGAATAGAGGTGATACAGATGTAGCTAAATCACAGAGGTGGCATAAAAATGCTTGAAATTTGGGAACCCCAGGCCTGCCTGGTATCTGGATCCCTGCCAGCTCTGCCAATGTGTGCTTCTCAGAAAAGGTGGCCTTGGGCAAGGAAGAGTTTCCTTCCTTGAAGAAAAGAATGCACTCTCCCTTGCCTCTGCAGGGCCATCTGATCCTCTGAGTGCCCCTGAGGACGTGGGAGAGATTAGGACACCTTAACTTGGGGTTTACTATTTAAATAATATATAGACTACAGGATCTACAAAAACAGGTGGGTGGGGGGACAGGGCCAGCTCCTTCATTCTCCTGCTCTTCTCCAGGGTCTAGTTACAAAGAAAACAATCCCCAAATAGGACTCCCAGGGTATGACTCAGAAAAGTGTACGCTCCAGTCACAAGCTAAAAATACCTCCTGCCCTTGGCAGCACCATCTTTCTTGGTGACAGTACTCAGGGCACCTAGGTAATTGGGACAGAGGACAGGAGCAAGGAAGACAGGCAGACAATGGACAGGGCTGTGTTCCTGCCACCCCTCAGGTCTTACCACCCTGAGGCCAGAGTCCCAGCACCCCTGGATTTAGCGCCCCCACCATTGCCTAAGTGCCCCCCATATTGTTCGCAGCGTCCTCCAATTCCACACCCCCTGTCCCAGGCCCTTCACCCTTCAGCAGCTCTAGCAATATGTGAAAGAAGGGGAATGAGTCTGAAGGATGGATGGAATGCACATCAGCAGGGAGCTGGAAGTCATGGGGCTGGTCTCACCCTCAGCTGCTAGTCCCACCTGAGACCTGATCAATCCCTTTCCCTCTCTGGGCTTCTGACAAAGACAGGGCTCATCGAGGTCAGGTTTTTCACACTGTGTCCTGTGGAAAACTGGAGTCTCCCATGACATGAATGGGGTCTTGTAGGGGTAGGAAGAAGATATATTTTCTGGTTGTGGTTGTTCCAAAAACAGCTTCCTTTTTACCTTCCTACAAATAGGTAAATGCTTTAGCTCTTAAGTAGATTTTAAGATACTGCACAGTAAAGAAAGCTTAACTTTGCTTAAACTTTGTTTAATTCACTTTTCCTCAAACTTACTGGACATTTGCTTTCTTTCCTTTTTGTTTTATTTTTCCTGAGGACTATCTACTGCCCTCTACAGCAATTCCGTGCTCAGCAGAAGAAAGTACAGCAAACGCTGGTCTAGATCATCCATACAACTCCTTCCCTTCCTACTCTCCACTCCTATTTGGAAACTGGTGTGGAATAGTAGTGAAAATCATTGATTCTGGGGTCTTCCTGCCACAGGATCCCAGCTCTCATTATTTACCCTGATTGTGTAACCTTGAGAAAGCTACCTACCCCTGTCTGTGTTTTGATTTCTGTAGATAAAAATAGGTCCCACCCACCGAATAGAGATTGTGGAAGGTTAAGGAAGCCCTTCCATAGGAAGTATTTGGAAGCATGCTTGGCACAGAAGGCAGGCTTAGTACTCATCAGCTCATGTCCTGGGCATCGGCCATGCCCAGCCCTACGCCAGGGTAAGGCCCTGACCTGGCCTTGAGCACATCCACTAGAGACACAAGGCAGAGGGTACTGAATGCCAGTGAGATGATAGCAGGCCCTTTCTATACTTCAAAATGTGTCTGTATTTGGCTAAGGCATAGCTGAGTTTTCCAACCATCTTTCCCTCCATTTCCACACCACCTGCTTAGGGTAGTGGAGAGGGAGGGCAGGCATGTGCGTGCACACACACACATACAAACCCCCTTCAGCCATGCTGCCTGTTTATCACCCCAGCTTTCCACCCTCCAGGCTTGGCACAAAGAGAAAGAGCAAAGAAGCTCAGAATGCCGAGAAACCAGGGCAATGCCACCCGCCACCCCCCAGCATTCACAGTCCTACAGAGTTCACTGCAGTGCCCTGCCTTGTCTCGGTCATTCCTTGCTCTGATCATTTAGGTGTTATTGAAGCTCAGAAAGTTGATCTCTTGACTAAAGTTATAGGTCAACTGGCCCAACCATATCTAGAACCCAGGTCTCCTGACTCCAAAGGTAGCTCTCACTAGCTCCCTCTGAAGGACCCAGGCCAGAGTGGGGGCCACTCCACTGGTGGGGAAGGACAGTCAGATGTGGCTGAGGAATTCCTCTTTCTCTTAGGTGCACAGTAGGCCCTTCAGGAATGTTTCTTCACCCCCACCTTCCTTTCTTACTCTCCTTCTCCTTCCTTCCCCAGGAAGCCTCCCTGCCATCCCTGCAGACAGCTCCTCTCTCTCTCTCTCTTTCTCTATTCCTGTTTATCCTAGCAGACTGGGAGCAAAAGGACCCAGGCCCAAGTTCCCACCCCCAGCAGCAAAGACTGTGCTGTGGTTCTGTGATGCCACCACCACCCACTGCCACCTGATCTATCTTCTGGTGGTACTGAGGCTTCCACCTCCTCCTACCCCAGCCAGGGACCCTGCCTTGGAGAAGCAACTTTCAACTGCTTAGAGATCTGCCTACCAACCCAACTAGACTTCTGAGACTCCCAAGACACCCTGTCTCCTTGTGAGGTCCTCCTTGTGGATAGCCACCTGTGGGACTCTCTGTAGGTGATCTCAAGGTTTCCCAGCTCCCCAGGGCTGAGAACCCTGGCATCTTGTGGGAACTGACACAGTGGTAGAAAGAATTAGGAAGGAGCCTGGATTTCTCCAATTGGGGAGCCCTCCTTAGAGGCTTCTTGCCCTTGGGTGGTAGGAGCGGGAGTTGACAGATGGGGAGAGGACGCCCAGCAAGGGGCCCGGGGCTTTTCCTACCTGTGGGGCCTCTGCCTGGGGCTCTGGAGCTGTCGCCTTCCTCTAGCTGAGCAGCCTCACTTCCAGCAGCCTTTAAGTCCTAGTGGCCTCTAGCCCCCAGCTCTTTGGTCCCGCCTCCCTGCTTCCCTCTCTCTCCCACCCCACCCCCACTTCAGGAGCCTTGGGCGCCTGAGGAGCATTGTTTACTGCCCAGTTGGTACAACATTTCCCCCTAGACTGGGAGGCTCAGATTTCCTGTGAAGATTTGACAGGTGGCATCTTTCAATCATGGCAAGTCCCTCCTCCCCTGACTCTAGTAGCATCTGTCCTGTGGTCACCTTTCTTCCCAATGTGCTCTTCTGGTCTTGGGGACCCCAACAACCATCCTCAGGGTCCATTTGGAGTATAGTCCCAGTGCTCTGGCCTTCCCTGCCCATCCAGAGCCCAGGCTGAGCCTCCTGGGTTCCATTCACACCACTCCTGCTGTGTTTCTTTACTAGGCCCTTTCCTCTCTTCAAACAAAAGCAGCTGCTTAAGGTGGGTTCAGGAGGGGGTGAACAGGGCAGCTGCCAGTGCAGGAGATGTGTCTCCAGGCTCACACAGCACAGGGGGGCTTGAATGGGGGAGGGCAGAGAGGACAAAAATAATGGGGCAAGCAATGGACCCCTGGCCTCAGAGTCTGGAAAATACAAAACTCCTGAGTCCTATTTTGAGCTGAAGTGATGAATACACAGTAGGCTCTGAACACATTTTTGTACTAAATTGAAATTTTTGCTCAGAAAAAACTAGGCCCAGGGCCTAGAAAATGGCTGGCTTTATATTAGGTGCTCAAGTAAATACATGAGGAGTGCCAAAAACATGTATGCACATTTTAAGAAAGGAAAAAACTATATTAAAATTGTAATGCTCAGCATATACCATTAGCAAAAGATGAACACAAGCCACACTAAGCACCTCTTATAATTCCAGAAGTCAAACGTGACTTGAGTATTACAAGTTTAATACACTTTTTCCCTTTCTTTAAAACATGTATAGTTCTTCTTTTTGGCACCCTCTGTATACTGAATTAACTAATTAATTAACAGAAATATGTTGGCAGTGCCTGACCACATGCACCAGGGCTGGTGGGTTTGAACCCAGTCCCAGCCTGCTGAAAACAAACAAACAAAAAAATAGCCTGGCGTTGTGGCAGGTGCTTGTAGTCCCAGCTACTCAGGAGGCTGAGGCAAGAGAATTGCTTAAGCCCAAGAGTTTGAGGTTGCTGTGAGCTGTGACACCACAGCAGTCTACCAAGGGTGACAAAGTGAGACTGTCTCAAAAAGGAAAAAAAAGAAAGGAAAGAAATATGTAATAGGATCTTGAGGGCCTATGGCTGGGATGATCTGAGAGATCTTTTTGTGTAGTCAGGTCTGGCTACCGTTGGTCCAACAGTTTGGTATTCACAGCTGCTGGCTGCCTCTAGTCTCCTTCACCCATCCAAGAGTTTGTCCACCCGAGGTTCGTGAGTTCTTCCATCTCTCTCTCTGGCTTGCCATCCTTTTATTTCTTTTATTTATTTATTTTGCCATTTTTGGCCAGGGCTGGGTTTGAACCCACCACCTCTGGCATATGGGACGGGTGCCCTACCCTTTTGAGCCATAGGCGCTGCCCCATCTTTTATTTCTTTAAATTAATTTCTCTTCTTGCTCTACTGTCCTTAGGTATTGATGATAGCTAATTAGCAGGTCATGGCATCATTCATTAAAAATTCACTTAGAGGGTAGCATCTGTGGCTCAAAGGAGTAGGGCGCTGGCCCCATATGCTGGAGGTGGCGGGTTCAATCCCAGCCCTGGCCAAAAACAGCAAAAAAAAAAAAAAAAAAAAAAGTTATCTTATAGACCAGGCACAGTGGCTCATGCCTGTAATCCTAGAATTCTGGAAGGCCAAGGCAGGATTGCTTGAGCTCAAGAGTTGGAGACTAGTCTGAGCAAGAGTGACACCCCATCTTTACTAAAAATATAATTAGCCAGGGACTGTGATGGGTGTCTGTAGTCCTAGCTACTCAGGAGGCTGAGGCAGGATGATCACTTGAACCTAGGAGTTCGAGGTTGCTGTAAGTTATGACACCACACAGAGTGCCCCTGTCACTCTACTCAGGACAACAGAGTAAGATATTGGTACAGTGGGTGTATAATTCTATGATATCTTATCCCATATATAGATCTTTGTAACTACCTCCAAATTTAGGATATAGAACTATTGCATCACCAGAAAGATCTTTCTTTCGCTCCCGTTCCACCAAGCCTAACCCCAGGCAACTATTAATCTCTTCTCCATCTCTGTAATTTTGTCATTTTGAGAATGTTATTGAAATGGAATTACACAGCATGTAACCTTTTATAACACCTGGTAAATATTCCCTTTAGGAAGCATATCCCTCTTGTAAGAACCCATCTCCTTTCCCATGCAGTTTCTTAATTTTATCTTGTATGTTGGCCATATTTTCAAAAGCAAAGCCAGGGTAAGATATGCCCTCTAAAACATCTGTACAATAATATCATAGCAGCATTATTCATATTATTCCCAAGCTAGAAAAAACCCAATGTCCATCAAAAGGAGACTAGATGAATGAATTATGGTATACTTGTACAAACACTAGACAGAAATAAAACAGAATGAATAACAAATGCACACAACATAGAAGAAATCTTACAGGAATTATGTTGAACTAAAGAAGTCAAGCACAAAACAGAAAATAGTGTTTAATTGCATTTACATGAAATTCAAGAACAGGTAAAACTGATGGTGATAGAAGTTGGAGTAGAGATACTGACTGGGAAAGAACAATTTTGGGGGGTTGAGAAGTATTTTACATCTTAATCTAGGTAGTAGTTATATGAATGTATATATATTAAGCTTAAGATTTGTGTACATTTTATTGTGCAAAAGTTATCCTCAATCTTAAATGAATCCTTAAAGCAGTAATGAGATTTTTTCTTTCTTTCTTTCTTTGTTTTTTTTTTTTTTTTTGAGACAGAGTTTCATTATGTCGCCCTTGGTAGAGTGCTGTGGCGTCACAGCTCACAACAACCTCAAACTCTTGTGCTCAAGCGATTCTCTTGTCTCAGCCTCCCAAGAAGCTGGGACTACAGGCACCCGCCACAACGCCCGGCTATTTTTTGGTTGCAGTTGTCGTTGTTGTTTAGCAGGCCCGGGCCAGGTTCAAACCTGCCACCCTGGGTGTGTGTGGTTGGCGCCGAGCCAGTAATGAGAGCTTTTAAAAATCAGGACTGTCTTGGACACTTAGGCAATCATATAAAGACAATTAATATAAAATGTTCAAGGTTGGACGCGGGGGAAGCCAAAGAGGATTGCGTGAAGCCAGAAGTTCTAGATTAGCCCGGGCTCTCCCAAAAGGTTTTTTTCTTTTTTTAATTAGATGGGCGTGGTGACCTGTGTCTGTAGTCCCAGCTACTTTGAGGCCCGAGGCAGGAAACTCTTGAGATCAGGAGTTAGAAGTAGCTGTGAACTATGATCGGGTCACTGCACTCCAGTCTGGGCAACGGAGGAAGACCCTACCTCAAAAGGAAAAAAAAAAAAGCCGCTTCCAAGGGCTAGTGTATCCTTGTGTCATTAATTTATATCTTGTAAATTAATGGGAAATTCTGTAAAAAAAAAAAAAATCAAGAGATTGAGGATTGTTTCTTTCTGGTTAAGTTAGAAGGGAACGGTGCAAATCAAGGAATACAGTAAATCTTTTTTTTTTTTTTTTAATTTGTAACTAAAAAAAGGATTATGTTTATTGAGGGCAAAGGGATGCAAACAATGTAAAAAACAAAAGCTCATCTGGCATTTAATTAACTTTTTCTTCTCTGCTTGACAAATGGGAGTTGGATTTTATTTGCATATATTCTAAGGATCCTGATCTGCTCATGAAATCCTTAGCCAGGGAGAAGCTGTGGGGCAGATGTCTGACGCAATCCTTTGAGAGAACACTTTTCAGGGCAGAGTAAGTGCTCGGTTCTGCCTACTTCTTGCCCTTCTGCTTCATGTGTACTACAAAGTAGTCGTTGCACGCGATGGTGAGGCCTGCAATTAGGGAAAAGAAGCTCTGGAAGCCCACTTTGCCATCTCGGCACTGGTCCAGGTCCTTCATTATTTTGTCTAAGGCCAGAGGGTCTTTTTGATTTTCCAAAAATCCTGGGAACTCTTTCTCCATGAGCACTCTGAGGTCCTCCTTTGTTAAGTAGCCTTTATCCCCGGCAAATTTGTGAAATGTGAACATCATGGTTTCCATGGCGTGCTCCATCTGAGATGGCATTTTGGTGAGGTCTACTGAAGTCTGGGCCGAGAGGCGCGGCGGACCGAATACAGTAAATCTTGAAAGATGCAAAGTTCCACAGTGCCGCCTTCTCCCTCACTCAAACGTATCAGGTATGTGATTAGCTCCGGCGGCAGCCGAAATTACTCTTATTCTTCTCATGAAGGTTCAGGTCGTCTCAGAGAAGGTGAATAGAACGTACTTTATACATATCTCTCAGTGGGCAAGAACCGTGTCTCGCTTATCTTTGCAAACCCAGAGCAGGCTTGGTGCTACCTACCCGGCCGGTAGTCGCACAAAGTCCCAAGCAACGTTGGTTCTCAATTGTGGCTGAACGTAGGAATCACCTGGGGAATTTTCAGTGTTATTGCTTCCTATCTCCTACTCCCATAGATTCTGATTTACTGGTAGGAGGCGAGTCCTGAGCATTGGGAATTTAAAAAGCGTCCGGTTTTAAAGTGCAACAAAATCCGAGAACCCTGTCTGGAGGGCGATTTTCCCTCTTTGCGCCTGATCTGTGATCAGGAGTCCAGGGAAACCAAGGCTAAGTTCACAGATCCGCGTCGCCACGCCCCTCTCTACAGAACCAATAAACTCAAACCTCTTGGCGACCACCCCGGGGCTTGAATTCCAAACAGGCTGCCGGCGCTCTGCACCCCGCCCAAGCCTCTATGGTATTTTGACGTCCCCTCTAGCATGTGAAAGTCGCCCTCCCCTTCGGCGGAGGCCGGCGCCTCTCTCTCTCTCTCTTTCTCTCTATGGTTGCCAAACTTCCCGCCCCGCTTTGTGGGTATTTCATTCCGGAAGTGAGTCGGGATCAAAGAAGAGGAGGGACTTCACTCCCGGAAGTGATCCACGTGCTTCCGCTCTTGCCGGCCTGGGCACAGGTGTAGATTATAGTACATGCCTGAAGTTGGGGTCGCAGTAGGCATTGTGAACTGTCCCAGGCGGTGGTGAGTGACTCGTAACATCTGACTTCAATGTGACCCTGATGATGGTGTCGCCATCTCAGAGGTGCAGGCTTTGGGCCGGGTCCCAGGCGCCTTGGTTCAGTGTACGATCTATTTCCTAGGGTCCGGCGGTTCTGGCCGCGTTTTAGAGTGTTCTTCCCGGATCTCTCGATCTTCCCTTGAATAGAGGTGACCTCGAGGGAATAGGGCATTAAGGCCTCAGGGCTCGGTTTCCAGGCCTGCCGTTGACGTCCTGCGTGACCTTGGGCTAAGCAGTGTTCCCTCAGGGCTTCAGTTTCCATGTCTGTGAAATGGGGTGGTTGAGCTCTCTAAAGTCAGTGGCCCCTGCTGGTCTGACGCCCTACGGTTCTTCCGAATCCTCTAGTCCCTGGGACGCTAGAGTGAACTACTGTCCCCGGTAGAGGGGTTGGTACTGATAGTGATGTCTGCTCCCAGGATTAGGAGGCCAGAGGAGATCCTTTCCACAGTGCCTGGCTGAAATGGATCCGCTCAGGGCTCAACAGCTGGCTGCGGAACTGGAGGTGGAGATGATGGCTGATATGTACAACCGGTAAGGAGCTCCTACTCTGCACTACTCTTGTCTTGGAAAATCAGCTTTGGTCACTGTTACCCAAGGGGGCCGACTTCTAACAAATTCCTTACTGAGGCCGGTGCCTGTGACTCAGTAGGGCGCCGGCTCCATATACTAAGGGTGGTTCGAATCTGGCCTCGGCCAAACTGCAACAATTAAAAAAAAAAAATAGCCGGGCGTTGTGGTGGGTGCCTGTAGTCCCAGCTACTTGGGAGGCTGAGGCAAGAGAATCGCCTAAGCCCAAGAGCTGGAGGTTGCTGTGAGCTGTGATGCCAGGCACTCTACTGAGGGCAATAAAATGAGACTCTTGTCTCTACCCCAAAAAACCCGAAAACAAAGTTCTTCCTGAATGTAGGAGAGCCTGAGGCCCATGCTTATCCTCCCCACACCCACCCTGCTGGTTACATACTAAAGCAGATGCAGTATAGGTCACTAGAACAAGCTGGGCATTTAGATGGGCGTGAAACTGACTCAGAAAAAGTCAAGCAGTAAGAAAACCTCCAATCCAGGCTTTAGTTAGATTCCAAGAACAGTTGTGCATTTACTTGACTTTCAACACATAGCACATAGCCATTTTGGTAGTTAACATTTTTTAAACCCTTACCGTGTCAGGCGCTTGTTGCGTTGCTGAGTATTTTGTGTGTGTTCTCTCTCTCTGTTATTTTAAATTTCGAATCAGTACAAAGGTACAAACGATTAGGTTACATTGTTTTCATTCGTTACTTAAAGCCCAATTTGTAGTTGAGCTGTTCACCCAGGAGGTGTGCCATATTACCCTACATTGTGTCTGTTGGGTGAGAGCTTACCAATGCTACTTCTTTCTCCACTTTTCCCCTGCTCCCCCTTAAAAGTAGTTGTGTTTTATTCTTGTGTGAGTGTGTAGTTGCTCATCTGCTGGTTTCATATTATTATTGAGTACATTGGATACTTGCTTTTCCATTCTTGTGATACTTTACTACATCTCAGGAAGATGTCTGTTCTCTTTTTTTAATCTTCAAAATAATTCACTGGGTGAATTTCATTAGTCCCATTTTAAGATGAGGAAATTAAGGCTTCTAAAGATTAAATGACTTCCTTAGGGTCTACAGCTGGTCACTAACAATGTCAGGACTAGCACCTCATTCTGACTCCACAGTACTCATAACTCCACACATTTGGGAACAAGTGCCGACTCCACCAATCGGTATCAGTATACTGGAGCTAATTACTTGGATCCTTTGACAATAGGTTTCCTCACCTCTAAAATGGACGTAATGATAGTACCTACCTCATAGAAACATCATAAATACTAAATATAAAAGAAAACGCCCTTAGCTTCAAACCAAACACATAGAAAACAAATGGTTACTAGTTTTATTGCTTTAAGTTCTTTTTGTTTGTTTGTTTGTTTGAGACTGAGTCTGTGTCACCCTCAGTAGAGTGCTTGGCATCACAGCTCACAGCCACCTCAAACTCTTGGGCTTAAGTGATTCTCTTTCTCTTGTCTCAGCCTCCCAATTAGCTGGGACTACAGGCACCTGTCACAATGCCTGGCTATTTTTTTGTTGCAGTTGTCATTGTTCTTTTGCTGGCCTGGGCCAGGTTTGAACCCACCAGCCTTGGTGTAGGTGACCAGTGCCCTACCCACTGAGCTATGGGCGCTGCTGGTTTAAGTTCTCTTTATCTTGGAGGCTATAAATTAGGATTTTTATTTTTTATTTTTTGTAGTTTTGGCCAGTGCCAGGTTTGAACCCGCCACACCCGGTATATGGGGCTGGTGCCCTACTCCTTGAGCCACAGGTGCTGCCCAATTAGGATGTTTTTTAAGTGTAGGCAGTGAAGTCAGACCACTTGAGTTGATGTCCCAGCCTTGTGTGATCCTTAGTGAGTTGCTAAGCCTCTCAGTGACTTACTTTCTTCATCTGTAAAATGGGAGTAATGATTGTGCCTAATATAGTAAGAATTGTGTAACAGAATCCATGCAAAGCACTTAGCATGATGCCTGGCACATAGCTAGTATACAGCAAATGGTTTCTATTTAATTAGTTATGTACATGGACTCAGGGAAGGTTCCTACTTACAAGGATGTTCAAGATGATTGAGGTGCAATCAGTACATCAGGGCTGGAATGGTTGAACGTTTTGGGGGATGTTACAAGATGTTGCTAACACAACCTTGCCCCTCCCTCCAGAATGACCAATGCCTGCCACCGGAAGTGTGTGCCTCCCCACTACAAGGAAGCAGAGTTGTCTAAGGGCGAATCTGTGTGTCTCGACCGATGTGTCTCCAAGTACCTAGACATCCATGAGCGGATGGGCAAAAAGTTGACAGAATTGTCTATGCAGGATGAAGAGCTGATGAAGAGGGTACAGCAGAGCTCTGGACCAGCATGAGGACCCAGATAGTGTACATCCCAGGGAGCACCTTGCTGCTTCTTACTTTAATAAAAGTGCCCTGGTTGGGTTTCATCTGTGAAGACTGCCAGCCTTAGGCTCTCTCTAGAGAGTCTCCAGGAGCCTGGAGTGTAGCAGAGCTATCTCCTGGTTGAAGAAGGGGTGTTTGTCACAATTGAATGTGACTATGTATGTGTGTGTACGTGTATATATATTAAAACAAGTTTGTTGACACCTACTATGTTCATAGCAGTGTACTTGGCATCTGAGAGCCTCTACCAGCAGAGAGAGTGTAACCTAGTATTTGAGAGTATGCTAAGGGTTTGCACACTGGGTCTGCCACTTTCTGTGGCCCTGAACATTGCACTTCTGTGTACTTTAGCTCCCTCATCTGTAAAATGGTAACCGTCACAGGGCTATGGTGAAGATTTAGTAAGTTAATGTATGTAAAGCATATTATAATGCTTTACCAGGTATGAAGTAATTGATTAGGGTATAGGAAGTACTCAATAAATTTAAAAAACAAGGGAATTTGAATAAATATTTTAAAAATGGGAAATTTGGACTTTGAGATGATAGTCCTCCATTTTTCCTCCTTTGCTTGCAAAATAATAAACTTCTCTTTCCTTCTCGTCAACCACTCGTTTTTCTTTTTTTTTTTTAAGAGACCCCGAGTCTCACTTTGTTACCCTTGGTAGAGTGCTGTGGCATTACAGCTCACAGCAACCTCCAGCTCTTGGGCTTAGGCGATTCTCTTGCCTCAGCCTCCCCAGAAGCTGGGACCATAGGCGGCCGCCACAACACTTGGCTGTTTTCTTGTTGCAGTTTGGCCGGGGCTGGGTTCGAACCAGCCACCCTTGGTATATGGGGCCGGCACCCTACTCACTGAGCCACGGGTGCCAGTCAACCACTCATTCTTCTGATGCAGATTTGTGGACAAGTGCAGAGTTTTCAGGGACAGATTTTGGTGTCCCTGGGTGGCTAAATTGGCACCTTGATGGAATGGCACCCTGCCACTGCTAGTAAAGGCAGAGAGCACTCCTGGTCAAAATGGTGGGTCTTCACAAGTAGGAGTCACTTCTTTCCGAGGTGATAGAGCAAACCACAACCCAAGCAGCTGCCAATGCCTGTTTTAACTCCAGGGAACTCTAATGTCTGTCTCCCAAAAGTAGATGGAGTTGCCTGCAATGTGAACTGAGTTGAGAAGGAAATGGATTTGGAAAGGGTCAAGATGCCAGGCCTTTTGTTGGGTAAGTTCTCTGGGACTCTGGGATGCACCTTCAGATCCCTGCTCCCACCCATTAGGGACGTTTTCAAACTTCCATGTCTTTGGAATGTCAGTTTGGGGGAGGGAGGAACAAGATGGAGTGGGCCTTGGGAGCTGGTTTAGATTGAGCTCATTTGTGGTTCCCAGGAAAAAGGTGAGGGATTATGCCACCTTTGGGGTTTTTTTTGAGACAGAGTCTCTGTCTCCCTTGGCATAGTGTCTTGGTGTCACAGCTCACAGCAACCTCTAACTCTTGGGCTTAAGCGATTTTCTTGCCTCAGCCTCCCAAGTAGCTGGGATAAGTTAGATGCCCGTTACAATGCCCGGCTATTTTTTTTGTTGCAGTTGTTTAGCTGGCCTGGGCCAGGTTTGAACCCACCAGCCTCAGTGTATGTGGCTGGTGCCTAACCACTGTGCTACAGGTGCCAAGCCTTTGCAGGGCATTTGGGGGTGACCTTTGTTCCCTCTGGATTCCCATCTATTTGATAGGCCTGACATTTTGTGGTGAGGAGTCTCTATATTGCTTGTGTTTGTTATTTGTGAGTTTTGTTGGAACATAGAAAAGTTCCATCTAAAAGTGCCTTAAAGGGGGGAGATACATGTAGCTTAGCAGCCAGTGTGCTAGCCACATACACCAGAGCTGGCAGGTTCGAGCCTGGCCTGGGCCTTAAAAATAGCTGGGGGTGGGGTGGGGAGGGTGGTGCCAGCCCCAGATAACAAGGGGGTGGCAGGTTTGAACCTGGCCCCGTCCAAACTGCAACAAAACAAAAATAGCTGGACTTTGTGGTGGGTACCTGTAGTCCCAGCTACTCGGGAGGCTGAGGCAAGAAAATCGCCTAAGGCCAGGAGTTGGAAGTTGCTGTGAGCTATGATGGTACAGCACTCTACTGAGGGCATAAAGTAAGACTCTGTCTCTAAAAAAAAAATAGCTGGGCATTGTGGGGGATGCGTATAGTCCCAGCTACTTGGGAGGCTGAGGCAAGAGAATCGCCTAAGCCCAAGAGTTAGAGGTTGCTGTGAGCTGTGATGCCACATCACTCTACCGAGGGTGACAAAGTGAGACTACATCTCAAAAAAATAAAGAAAAAACAACTTGAACTTGAGTGGAGGCAAGCACACATTTCCACAAACGATATGAAGGAATGATTTAGGGGAGAGAGTGAAAAGTTGCTGGGATTTAAGAAGGGAGGTCCTTGCTGAAGGTCACAAAAGTGGGACAGTATCATAGAGACCAGGGCTGACTGCTGCATTTGCTCTCTTGCTTGAGGAGGGTCAAGCGTAATTCCATTCTGAGTAGCATCCTCAGAGCCTGCAGCTTTCGGAATGTGTGGGTCTCCACATGGGATTTTGGTGAACACCAGTAGCACAGTGATAGCAGGACCTTCAACGTGCGCCTTCCCGGTGGAAGAGCAAAGGAAACAGAATAGAGGTAGTGTGTTTTGGGCTCATGAGTGCAAATTCAAGCCAGGCAGCTTGAGTTTGAATCTCAGCTGAAATCGTTTAGCTGTGTGATCTTGGGTGAGTCATTTAACTAACTGTTCTGTATCTCAGTAACTCAATCCATAAAATGGCAATAATAAAGGTACCTACTTCATTGTGTGGTTATGAAAATTAAATGTGTAAATAACCAAAGCACTTGGGAAAGTGCCTAGCATACGTTAATTACTGTTTAGCTCCTTTCATTGCAAAGTTTGATATAAGGTGAAGACCCCTCATGTAACGGCTGCAAACTTCAAACCCATCAGGGGTAAGCAGAGAGGAGTAACACTCCTTCCTAGGAACCGAAGCGCAAATTTGGGTCAACAGGTGGCGCTGTCTGCTCACGGTCAGCGCCTTTGTGGACAATTTCACAGAGGATCATTTACTGCCAGCATCAAGCTGGCAAGAGAGGCATGGTGAGGAAAATAGATGATACTGTACCTACCCTCAGGTTTAGCAAGAAACATTAAAAACTCTCTGATGACATATAGCTGGAACATCTAGAAGGAATGGTGGGAGTGGGGAGAAGAGGTCCCAGCTAGAAGGAATAGCACTTGCAAAGGCTTTGAAGTGGCAGAAAGCCTGGGGCACTCAGGAAATGCTTGTGGCTGGAGTGCTAAGTGTGCAGAGAGGGAGAGATGAGAGACAGGAAAAGGCGTGGAGGCTGGACGGGCACAGCTCCAGAAGACCTGGGTGGGTTGTGGTGAAGAGTTTAGATTTCCTCCTACTAAGTGCATCAGCAAACTGCCAGAAAGGATTTAAGCCCTTCAGTGTCAATGACAGGTCTGCATTCTGGAGGTCCCGAGCTGCCAGCCTGGGAGACCAGTGATAGAGAAGACAGTATCAGTGGTTCTCAACCTTCCTAATGCCGCGACCCTTTAATACAGTTCCTGTGGGTCGCGACCCACAGGTTGAGAACCACTGCAATAGATAATGGTTAAAGGAAGGTGAGGCAGGGAGCCGAGGAAGAAAGAAGGCGGAGGATGCAAATCAGAAAAGCTCACATTTACTGAGTTGCTACAGTGCTCTAAGCTCCTGCTAAGCTCCTTAAATGTGTTACTTCAACTAATCCTTCTAACAACCCTGTGGAGCAGGCATGATTATTTTCATTTCACAAGTGAAGAAGCTGAAGCTCTCAAAAAGCAGTGACTCACCTAAGGTTATGCAGCAAGCAGGTGGCAGAGGTATTTATTTATTTATTTATTTTTGGACACAGAGTCTTTTTTTTTTTTTTTTTTTTGAGGGGCAATTTTTGGCCAGGACCAGGTTTGAACTCACCACCTCTGGTATATGGGGCTGGCGCCCTACCCTTTGAGCCAGAGGCACCTTCCGAGACAGAGTCTTAATCTGCCACCCAGGCTAGAGTGCCATTGTGTCAGCCTAGCTCACAGCAACCTTAAACTCCTGGGCTCAAGGGAGTCTCCTGCTTCAGCCTGCCAAGTAGCTGGGACTGCAGGCGCCTGCCTCAATGCCCAGCTAAGTTTTCCATTTTTAGGAGAGATGGGGTCTCACTTTAGCTCAAGTGATCCTCCCACCTCAGCCTCCCAGAGTGTTAGGGCTATAGGCATACAAGCCTGCCAGAGGCCACTTTTAACTGCTGCTCTAGAATTGGGGGAAATGGTCCCTATGAGATATGTGTCAGGAGTTTCATATTTTATTCAACAATATTTGTTGGGCACGGTGGCTCATGCTTGTAATCCTAGCACTTGGGAGGCCGAGGTGGGTGGATTGCCTGAGTTCACAGGTTTGAGACCATCCTGAGCCAGAGTGAGACCTTGTCTCTAAAAATAGCTGGGCATTGTGGTGGGCACCTGTAGTCCCAAGCTACGTGGGAGGCTGAGGTAAGAGAATCGCTTAAACCCAGGAGTTTGAGGTTGCTTCGAGCTATGACACGACGGCACTCTACTGAGGGTGACCAAGTGAGACTCTGTCTCAAAAAAACAAAACAAAAAACAATATTTATTGTTGGCCTGCTACATGCAAAGAGCTGTGGAAAGTGCCATAGTGAATTAGCTAGATCCTCACCCTCCATAAGCAAGTGGGGTAGAAGCAGAGAAACAGAACGTACATAGAAAGGGTATCAGAGAGGCCAGGTACGGTGGCTCACACTGACTGTAAAGCTCATGCTTCACCCATAAAGCACTTTGGGAGGCGGAGGTGGGTTGCATTGCTGGAGCTCAGGAGTTGTAAACCAACATGAGCAAGCCTGAGACCCCATCTCTAGAAATAGCCAGGTGGCAGTGGTAGGTGGCAGTAGTTCCAGCTACTCAGGAGGCTGAGGCAAGATCTCCTGAACCCAGGAATTTGAGGTTCCTGTGAGTTATAATGCCACAGCAC